AAGGAACATAGCTTGGACAAGTGGTGTAGCGACATTGGCGACTTCATCTCTTGCTCCTTCAAGCCTCTTGATCTTACCAACCAGGACGTCAAACTGAGCTTGCGATTTGATTTTACGGTCTACAAAACACATTTATAATAAAAATCTGCTGCATTAAAAAGAGGAAAGTTCAGATTGTCAGCTGGCAGTACCTTCAACCTCCTTCAAGGCCGAGTCCCTTTCTGCAGCCAGTTCTGCTTTGTCTTTTTTCAAGGCTTCAATTTGCTTCTCCATTTGAGCCATCCTGGTGGCTTGCGCTGTTTGAAATCCAAATGTTTGAGGATCCAGTTATGACAGCATAAATGGGACAGATCTAGAGATTACCTTTTGATGAACCACTCAGCTCGTAGTTTGAATCCTGGAGCTGAGCAATTCGTTCCCTTAATTCCTTCTCCGTTTTCTTGGCATGCTCCTTGGCCTCGTGTAGCTGGCCCCTAACGGCTTCAAGAGTTCCCAAATGAGGAACCAGCTTTTCTAAGGTTGCGGTCTTGGCCTCATTGCGAAGATGGATTCTCTGCACGGTGGTTCATGGATTAGTTTTGCTAACGAGAAAACAAAGTCATCAAAGGCAGTCACCTAGAAGACTTACATTCACAATGCGAGTAGCTTCTCCAAGTACTTTCTTCAGCTGGCACACTTCCTCATCTTCTTTTTGGCGATTTATGACAATGCCGGAAACTTGAGAGTTCTCGTCCCACCATTTGAGTAAGATAGGAGGACGAGAGTCATCAGCTGCCTTTATGCGGAGAATTTCTTCTTCGTCGCCGCCTAGTGGACCTGATGTATTCCCAAGACATTAGACGAACAAGCTGGAGTTATTCAGAACGGCATCACTTGAGAAGATGAGTTACCTGAGGATGTGCCTAGCTGAGCGTGAGGTGATCCTTGCTCTTTATCTGGAGACCCGATCACCGAGTCATTACCAACTTCTGGTCCTTGAGAAGTTGTCTGCGCTTCAGCTTCAGGAATCTCTTGATTTAGACCTACATCCGACTGGTTTCCAGTCGGGGGCTCTCGGGTTGTTGCAGTTTCAGTTGCTGCCGACTGGTTTCCAGTCGGCGGCTGGTCACTCGGATTAGCTTTGTCATCCGAAGCATGGGCGCCAGTCGGCTGGCTTTCGGCAGTCGGCTCAGCATCTTTGGATAAATTTGGTTCTGTGGCAGCCGGATCAGGATCTTTTCCAGTTGGATCTATGTCGGATGGTTTCCTGCAAAATGTCCTTTCGATATTCAGCATAATTTCTATGAGAGAAGCATGTCAAAGGGAGATGGTACCGAGAGGTTTATACCTGGAGGATGTTCTAATCTTTGGCATTTGACGGCCAGCCAGTTTTTTCTTGGGCATGGTACGCTTTGGGAGTTTATTAGGCGAGCCCTTGTCCCCAGATTTGTCGTCGTCGCCTTCATCGTTGTCGAGCACCAGTTTTCTCTTGCGAGAACCTGTCTGTCCAGTTGGATTGGAGGTTTGAGGTTGCGGATCTGGTCTGATCGCTGGCCCTCCACCTCCCTGGACGGTGTGCTGGCGAGGAGACCGGCGCTGAGTGACTGGGGGGTCAGACTTCATCAAAGTATATTCCTAAATGAGATGCTTCCACGGTTAATTAATTCGACATGAAGACAAGATTATGTTTTGATCTTGGGTTGAAGATTTCCGATACGTACCTGCGGAGGTGGATTGAATGCGTTGTATGGTACAACTGGCAGTTGATGTGAGTAGCTGACGACAATAGCGTTCGAGAATATCTTGTACATCCTCTCCTTCATGATCTTAAAGTCCAGAGAATCTGGGTCTTCACGGTTTGGATCATGCTTGCCGTCAAACTCAAATGCTGTGCGGGATCTCTCTTTGATTGGAGCTAATCGGCACTTAATGAAATGCCGAGTGATTTGCTCTCCCTGTAAGCCTTGCTCTTTGAGCTTCAGCATGCGTTCCATCAGTTCTAAGGCTTGGGCAGCTTCATCTCCCATGGGAAGAGAGTTCCAGGTATCTTGGTATACTGGGGGAAGACAGGAGTACTCAGGAAGAGCGGGCTCGGGATTTTGAATATAAAACCAGTTGGCGTGCCATCCTTTGTTTGAAGTCTTGAAAGGCATAGAGAAATACTTCTGGCTCAGAGTGCCCCTCAGTTGAAATCCAGCCCCACCAACTACGCATGGTTTGTTTTTGTTCGGTTGAGGCTTGAGGAAAAAGATTCGGCGGAACAGAGCAAAATGAGGTCTAATGCCCAAAAAAGCTTCACAGACATGAACGAAATTTGCAATATGGACTATGGAGTTTGGATTCAAATGATGTAAGCTGATTCCATAGAAATTCAGTATCCCACGGAAGAACTTTGAGGTTGGGAGAGCAAATCCGCCATAAAAGAAATGAGAGAAGACCACGGCCTCGTGTGTATCGGGGGTCGGAAAAGCCTCACCGCACGCTGGCCGCCACCCGATGATCTCCTTGGCAGGGAGAACGCCGTGCGCCACCATCTCCTTCAGGTTCTCCTCCGTCACGTCGGACGGCGCCCATTGGCCTTCGAAGCTTTCTTTCTCTTCCGCCATCGATTTTACCCGAATGCGCTGATTTGATTCGAGGGATGGCTTGGGGAAGGTGAGGAATTGAGGCGGTGGATCACGGGAAGGATTTTGATTACTTTTCGAAGGTGGATTTGGGTGGAATGGTGAACCCTAGTTTGCCGGCGCAGCTCTTTACTGTAGCAGGGAGTGGGGAAAATGGCGAGAGTTCCGGCGGGGAAGACGAAGCGTCGCTTGGATCTCGGGATTTCTTGTTAAGGGTATCGGAGGTGCGAATGGGCCTAGGCCTGAACAGTACCTCAGCCCAATACTTTTAACAGCGTGGCCCATTGTGTTCCTTAGGGACTTAGGCATTTTTTGCTTTGGCAATTTATGCACACAATAGTGTTGCCCAATGCTGATAAAATCCTTTTTACGCGGTCATATAATTCTTTGGAATTATTGCAATGCAAATTAAAAGGTGCCCGACAGAAAGGCGTTATGCTGTTTTTGTACGCTTTTTTAGGCTACAAAAGCTGTCTGGGTTAACTTGGAATGACTTGTTTTTATCATAGTCATTTCCTCGGTATGTTATATGCCTGTTTTCATTATGGTAAATAGTCATAGCCTAGGCTATTAGTCTTATTCATTACCATAATTTTTATAATACTTTGTGGGTAATCTTTAGAGTCTTTTATTCGGATGCCTGTCAAGTGTGTTCATTCGTGAACCTTTTAGAGTGTTAACCACTCGGATTCCTTTTATTGTGACTAAAAAGCAGTCGGCTAAAATGCCTCTTTAGGCGCCGCGTATGCTTCTGTCATATGATGCATGATTGTGCTATTATTTTGTTCTCAACTATATGTTTAGTTTGTTAACTAATCACATAGTTGGGGGCTACACCTAATTAGGTGCATCTATTCGATGCACCATATTCTTTATCTTTTCGTCCTTTACAGTCTTCGTCTTCGCTACTCGGCAGGCCTTGGCATGAAAAGTTGGAAGCACTCGGATTATTATCTTTGAGAAGGCTATGATGGTTGACTGCAAAGGTCTCGGGGGCTACTGTGGAGATTATGGATATCCCATATCTGCACGGCGATGATATTTGGACTGAATATATGATACCGAATATAGATAGAATATCTTATGTGTATCCTGGGTTTGTTTCTTAACTTGTACATCAAGGAAACACCTTGAGACTTAGTCGGTCACGACTGTATTTAATCTGTATCTGTGTATTCCGTTAGGGATATAGATTATCTTTTGTAACCCGGACTCCTTCCCATATATAAGGGGGTCCGGGTGCCTCTAGGGGCATAGGTTGATTTTCTCTAAATCATACAATCAATAATACACTCGGCGGATTCATCCCCGGACAGGAGTAGGGTATTACTTCTTTTATAAGAAGGCCTGAACCTGTATAAATCCTTTGTCTCCAAACCCATACACTTTTCAAGCTTGATAGCCACCCCCTTTTATTATTGCCGAAATCTAGTTTCGACACTTCTTATAGATCAAACTAATCTTTGTTGAAATATGTTCTGCTGGTTCTGTAACCTCAAACTCACCATGGTATTATTCTTCTGATTAATTTTTGTGCAATAAGTACATGCACACGTCGTAGGATTCAACATTTGTACTATATTTGGTTGAATTTGGTAGCTTAATTTTCAGAGCTTCCCCAAACACATTTGGTTCCTATCGAATTTATTTTAAGATTCATCATTTTTGTGAGATTTCATGAGGCATTGCATAATTTGCACTTGCTACCAGGAAAAATATTTTTACATGCGTTCAATAACCCAATTTATGTGGACATTTAGCGAACCACTTTTGACCTAATGCGTATAGAGATCAACAATTTGTACTGGCGTATATCTACAACACGTACTCTTAAGGAACAACGTGTGAATACGATTTTTTTTCTTTTCAAGGAAAAAAGAACTAGAAAATAATATTTCACATTTCATGAGGCGTATGAAGTCACGTGATTTATTAGATAATGAAAAAACCACAGTGGCATGAGCAGGCGTGGTCTCGGCGTGCGCATGGCCACAACTAGAGTGCATTGTGGCACGGCGTACGGCTTGTGCGCAGTTGTGTGTGAGTGCTACGTAGGACGAAGACCACCCTTTATTGATTTAGAAGGGTAATTCGCTTAGTTTGGAAAGTCCATGGTAAAAATGTTATCTAGAGACTGGCATCCTATAACAGTTGGAGACAATATGGTCTCTAATCATTAATGTATCAAAATATTTTTTCTTACTTTTATTTCCTTTCTTTCACCACCATCACCATGCAACAAAAATTACTCTAATAAATGTTAAGAGTCGACTCTTAGCCGTTGTCACGCATAACAACCATATTTCTCTTTCCTCCTTTCTCTTTCTTCCATGCCATCAAATTTACTTGCATGGCAATAGAGAGACCACTAATAAAGACCGTTGTACATGCCCTTAATTAGGGAGGTAAATCGAATGAGTCTTGATATGGTAATTCAGAAGTCACAAGTTAGTCTCTGTGCTATCAAAATTTTCAATGCTCCATAGGAAACAACACTCTGAAAAATCATGCATCCATGCCTGATATCTATCATGATACAAGTCGTCCACATAGAATTCCACCAAATATCAAAGCTCCAAACCACTTATTGGACACAAATCTGCAGAGAACCATTTCAGCTAAGAAAGTTAATAATCTCATAGATAACAAGATTAACTGATTTCTTCTGTTTCATGTAAATTAAGGAACAACTTACTTCCTGTTGCAATCTAGGCGGTCAGATAAATCAACAGTTGAAACTTGCCATGCTAAGTGCGCAGATGCAGCTGCCAGAAAAGGGTAGTAAGGCCATGCTGTCCAATGTGAGGAAAGTCCGCAGTCAATATCTTGCATACCAACAAATATTTCACTAAACAAGACATTCTGATAATGTTCACTAACCAAGGTCAGCATTATAGCCACTGAGTGCTAAATTGGCAATGCATGCAGCACCAAATCCACTGATCCAGGGCTTGGTTGAATCTCCAAACCTTAATGCTGTGGACTTGACTCCTACTTTGACGTCATCTTCTTTATCCTATCAAATAGTTGGATAAGAAATTAGCAAACATCCACAAAGATGGCATCACTAAGATCAAATATGAAAAAAAAAATAATGCCATTAGTAAGTCACCTGATGTGCATATATGGTATCATACACCAGTGTCCAGCATATACCAGCTGTATACAGCGGAAGGATGATGGCTGGATCTATGGTTCCTTTCATGGCAGCCCATCCTATCAAAGCTCCCCAGTTGAATACCAAGCCAAGATATGCCTGAGGCTGTAACAAATGCATTGAAATTGTTGGATCATCCTCGGTAAATAATTTCACATTATTAAGAATCCACATGCTTAATTAATTAGTGCATACCCAATATGTGAACCTCTTCATCAGGGGATAAGAGAAGACCAAAAGAAGTGAAAATACCCCAAGTATTTGGCTGCACAAACAAATATCATAAAAGATAGAGTAAAGACCCTTTGAGTTTTGTGAAGTGTTCTTTTCCCCAAACAACGCATGAGAGCCGTCGAGCCGAGTGTCATTTTATTAAGAAGGAGAAAACACAGCACAAAAGTAAAATTGACTTAAACATATTCAATTTTTGCATTCCAAACTTAAAAGGCAAAGAATTCTACCAAAATAACCGAATATCTCATTGTTCTTTTCTGCACAAAACAGTGCAATGCTATACTATATACATTTAAAACATTCAAATTAACTGCATCAATTTCAGTCAAACAAGGCCAAATGTACCTTAAGTTATTTAGTTGGAGAAGAATTGGTAATCCCAGTAAAAGCTGGAATCCGAGGAAACCCACTCCTTGCGTAGGTGTTAGAATACCTGATGCAAGAGGCCTGCTTTTGGTACGCTCAACCTACAAGAAAAGAACAATACAAAAATGACCCTCATATCAAAGATCCAAGCGTTAAATCTCATCAATGGGTAAATTTATTTTATGTTGCTGGTTTACTACTTCCCTACACTGTTCTTCAAGCAACTGGCGATATCATGATGGCATTTGATCGATCCGAGCAGGTTTCAGCCTCTCTGAACTCCAAATCAGAGGAGCAGATTTGCAGACTTGCAGTAGTGCCACTACTACAGTAATACTACTAGTAATGCAGTTTTGCTCGGGCATTGTGACTGAAGGAGTAAAAGTGGCCATGGAAATTCCCAACCAGTCGATGCTTCGTTTTCGATTTTTACGGCTAGGTCAAGCAATATGAAAATGGTTAACAAGAAACAAAAATGAAAATGGTGAAAAATATGAGAACAGAAACAGAAACGATTATACCGACCATTTCCGAATATTACTGTATTCTTATGGTAATCATGGTATTTCTAAATACGCCAATATTTATGGTCCATTTCTGTATTTCATCCATAGTTTAGAGATCCATCAACTCCTCAACCAAATCACTAACTTGAACACAAGGTTAAAATGAAGATAATCTATAACTACTTATTTCATCATATTATATAGTTAAGTAAAGTTAAATGTGATATTTTATAGTTAAATGTTTCTGACATTTATTACAAGTTTCCGATCGCTAATATTTTTCTGTCCGTATAGTTCTATTTCCAGTTTTTCGATATTTTCAATATTGGTTTTATTTCTAAATTTACTATTTTTGGCTTTATTTATAAGAAAAATATGATTATGAAAAGAGTGTAGCTATATTTATGGAGCCATATTTTTCATCAAAAAATAGTCGGCATGTATTTACATTGTAAGTCCATAAATTACATATGTAATTTTAGTGTATTTACAATATAAGTCTCAAAATTACATATGTAAGTACTAAAATTACATATGTAAATTCGAAAATTACATACTAATTACATATGTAAGTGGGGTGTAAATGAGGTATAACTACTGTGTAAGTGGCTGAAAAAAAATCGACTATAGCATATGGCGCCATATTTCTAGCAACTCCGTTATGAAAATGGTTGAGACGTCTTCCCGACGTTTTCATCCCTACCAGCAGTGTTGTAGTAGGAAACTACCAGAAGCAGAGTTGGGCTCGTCTTGGGCCTATGGGTGGGCGTCGTCTTGTGCAGAGTTGGGCTCGATTTGAACCAGCGACGCTGCCACCAGGCCCCCATTGCGTTTGTAGTTATGGACTAAGGTAGGCCCGCTAGCCTCTCCTCTCAAGTTTTGTACCATACCGCTCGATTATATTGCTACAGACGTGTTTATATAGTCCCATACGAGCTTGCATCGTCGGGAGGCGATGACGAGAAGCACCTGCGCTGGAGGGTCCTGCGCATTCTCTCCGATCTTAGGATGAAAACATGGTGCAATGCTGAGCCAATCCATACATACGTTTTTTTTCCCTTTTACTACCAGAGTCCCCTTTTTTTAAAACTTTTACTACCAGAGTCCTTTTTCTCTTTTAACAATCACATCCTTAGTGAAGGGAAAAAGATAAAAATATTGTTCTATCAATATAAAAAGTTTGTTTCCCTTTTACTACCAGAGTCCCTTTTTTTTACTTTTACTGCCAGAGTCCTTTTTCTCTTTTAACAATCGCATCCTTAGTTAAGGGGAAAAAGATAAAAATATTGTTCTACCAATATAAGAGCATCACGAACAGTCTACCAATAACCTATCTCCAAAATTTAATTTTTGGGTTTCCTAAACTGAAAATAGGTGGTGAAAAAACCCCTTCCTCTAAGAGATAGCCTAAATTCAATCCCCCAAAATTAAAAGTGAGCCATTCTGTTAAACTACCAACAGAAATTCTAGTTTTTTTTCCTTTCCCGTGCACAGAAGGAGATCGCCCCAACGCGGGAAGGAGAGGAGAAACGCGGAAGGAGGGCAGAAACGCGCGGAAGGAGGGGATTGGGAGTCGTTCTCTCGCCCTCAAATACACGTACCGAGAAAATTGGAGATGAGAACTCCAAAACGTCCAGAGCTCTTTTGGGAATCTGTTGGACCAGTTTTTTTTTAACCAAAATCCCAAAAAAATAGAATTGGGGATGAAATAAATAGACTGTTAGTGATGCTCTAAAAACTTTCTATGACATGCTATTAAACTCGAAGTACATGGGCGAGTCTTGTAGCATCCGAGGACAACAATTCGAAAGTCAATGTGCTTGTCTTTGGTCCCACGAGAAAAAATATAATATCATTAGAGCAAAAGAGAAATTCCTTGAATATAGTCATCGCAAACAACAATTCGAAAGTCAATGCGCTTGTCTTTGGCCCCACGAGAAAAAATATAATATCATTAGAGCAAAAGGGAAATTCCTTGAATATAGTCATCGCAAACAACGAGATGGAAAATAGGGAAAAGGATGGTGTAGCGCAGCGAGTTCACAAGCAGTAATTTTTTTTTATGTTAGCAGCTGTTTTTTCTAAAATTGTGAAGACCATGCGTGTAGGATTCGTGAAAGGAAAAGAAGAGGGGGCATCAGACCATAAACCCTGCACTTGTTTTAAAAATAAGCTGGACTAGCTATATATATAACTTTCTATAGCTTTTTTTTAAGAAAACTTATTATAATAGTGGGGTAATTACGATATAACTTTGTAACAATAATATAAGTGATTTATAATTTGTGCTTAGCTAACAAATAAGTAACATGTGCTAGCATAATGGGTAGCTTTGCTCGAGCGCAACATGAGCATTGAGGGTTCAATCCTCCGCCAAGCGCGGGACTATTTTTATCTCTTTCCCGTGCACGAATCTTAAAGACCATCTAGTGTCCCAAAATTCAAAAATTGCTATACCAATTTTCTGTCACATGATATTTAGCAAATCCCAAGTAGCAAAGACGCATTACACATAAGAAAAAGGAAAATGAGTTGTTTTCTTTTTTTGAATTTTTCGAGACGATATGCATGGTATTCTGGAAATGAAAAGGGATAGAGGCTTACGAGAGATAGACCATGAACCACCAGTCCACCGCTATCTTTTTTTAAAATCAAGACAACAGATTACAAGCAAGTATGAAATGGTTCTACACCGAGCTTAATTTCTGGTTCCAATTTTTTTCACCTTTACACGCGCTAGTAAAAAGAGCAAAAGGAAAGCAAAGTGTTGCTACACCAGTTTCATTTTTTTACCTTTTTATGCACCAGTAAAAAAGAATGAAGAAAAATTTTCCCCTTTACACGGGCAAAATGGAGATGCGGGGTATCGATCCCCGTACCTCTCGCATGCTAAGCGAGCGCTCTACCATCTGAGCTACATCCCCAGCACGAGGCCTAACCGAAAAGTTGATCTCATGACACGAATACAAGATCCGAACAGCGTGGCCTGATCATTGTGATCTATGATATTGATCAGCATTCACAGAGATATGAACTAGATGTGTATAGCAGTACAAAGTCAAGGAGTTTGGTCTTATCTTATTAGTGTAGTATATTTGGGATACCCCATACTTATACACTCACCAGGAATATCTCACACCCAAAACTATGAATACCTTCATATGGATAACTATACAGGAAAGTAAGAGATCTCATCCCAATAAGACCTTGCTTGATTATTCCATATGAAAAAGGGATTAGAGGAGATTGAGGATTTGAGGGGGGATTGATTCCACAACTTAATAGGTGTGGAATTCACTGGTGGAGAAACCATTTTTGATCGATCGACCAGATTTCACAATAGTTCCAATTGTATTAAAAACCGGAACTCAAAAAATCTTTAGTCCCAGTTTAAAAGCTCAGAGGTACTTTTTTGATCTTTAGTAAAGATCGACATACGCGGAGTGGCTGCGTGTGGATCGGATACATATCACCTCCTCCCTCCCGTTCTATCTCCTCTCCTTTTAACTCCTCTCCTCACACAGTCACACCCTATCTCTTCCTCTCCTCCTCTCCCTCCTCCCTCCTCCCCACTTGATCTGCAGCGGCGGAGCGCGGAGGGCCGGCTGGCCGGCACGGCGGCGCGGCGCGCGGAGGGCCGGGCGGCCGGCGAGGCAGCGGGCGTAGCGCCGGTGGCTGTTCGTTTTTTTTTTTTTTAGAATTTGTGATTCGGATCTGAGATTTGTTTGTGATGTGAATATGTGATGTATTTGATTTGTGTGTAATGTATTTGTGATGAATTTTATCGATTTGAGGATTTGGAGGTGATTCGGGGATGATTGATTTAGGATTTTGGGGATGGGATAGAGTAAAATCAATATATTAAAAACAATAAAGAAAAGAAAAGAATAAAGTAGCAACCGGATCAGCCCGGTTGGAAAACCGGGACTACAGAGGGTTACGAACCGGGAATAAAAACCCTTTCTCCATCAGTGATTATTCCCTTCCAAATACTCCTTAATCCACTTCTAAGTACGATTAATCAAACAAGACCTAAGGAAAAATTCCTTAATCTGACTTAAGGATAATAAGAGCATAGCGGGTTATTTTGTTTTGGACTTCCTAATTTCTATTTGGACGAGGAAATCGTACTTCGATATAAATACAATGTCTCCCATTGGAGGAGGACATTTCATCATAAGTTGTACAAGCCAACACCACATTGAGCATGCGCCAATGGAAGAACCTAGCTATTACTTGCATATTCCGTTAAGATTAGTTTAGTCAGATAGATGTAACTTACTTGATCAACATATTCTAGCCGGTGTGATACACCCTCACCAATACATATAAACATGAGTAGAACTATCACCCACGACAGAGTTAGAATATGTATAGGATACATGCGCACCTTTCGTACTAGCCGAACCCTATATTCTCAATACCATAGTTGAGATCACATGTATATATATATTGTTTAATATAATCATCTCTGTCCCATAAATTAAACAAGAAGAATTTTACGTAACTTTACTATGACTACTCATAGTTTTTCTTTATGATGAGAGGTTCGTCATTGTCAAGGTTGGGGAGATCGACCACTATAACATTTGGCAGGAGGGTTTATAGTTTGAGTGTCTCTACTCTCTAAGGTATCATTTCCATACAGTAGGTTATACAGATCGATTTATTACTGTCGGTTCACGTCGAAGTAGGATAGGTTTATTATTATCGGTTCACGTCGAACACACAACGGTAATGTTTTTATTGATTGTTCATAATAAGCCAGTAATAATATCACTGCATGTTATTATTGTAAACCACAATGATTTCTTGGTATCATTGTCAGCCAGGGTTTTGACAAATTTTTTGTAAATTTCTTGAACTTTGGTGGCTTTTTAACCAAAATTATTTGAAATTTTAATATATTTTGATTGAATTTGAACAAATTTTGACTAAAATCACAAAAAAATGAAAAAAATCTGAAAAATTTGAGGGAGATTTGTGCTTGTGGGTAGGGTCCGAAATTTCGAACCATGCTGTCGGCACAGTTTGGCCTTTCAGCTTCACTATTTGCAAGAACTTAAAAGCCTTTTTTTTCTTCATTGAAAGACAAAGTGGAAGAAAAATTAATGGACAGAGATGACCACAAATTAATCACCTTTCTATCAATATCTCGATCAAGAAGATCGTTGATTGTGCATCCGGCGCCTCTGATGAGCACGGATCCACACGCGAACAGCGCCAGCATCCTCATGTCCGGCAGCTCCCCTGGCATCGCTGCCATCGCGATTGACCTACCAAGGAAACAGTGTGCAGCCTCGCTTCAAATCCGAAACAAACTAGCGTACAATGGTGCCTAGCTGGTAGCTGTAGCAACAGTACCCACTCTATTTTGTATTATAAGTCGTTTAATTTTTTTTCTAAATTAAACCATTTTATGTTTGAATAAATTTATAAACAAACATATCAAAATTTACATGAAAACATATTCAGCGTGTTATATTTAGTTAGACTAATTTACTATACTTTATAAATTTATTCAAACTTTAAAAAAATTTGATTTATAAAAAAATAAAAACGGCTTAAGGAGGTACAGTAGTATAGTACCAGAAGCTGGGCCACGCAAGGAGCCAGGTGCCAATGGGCTTGTCGATGCGGGCGAGCATGGCATATGGCCGTGCCGCCAGTGGGACCCACCTGTCCACCCACGACGGAGGAGGTGGCTTCGCCTGCGGCGACTGTTGCGGAGGAGGCGTGGAATCCCCACCGGCGCCCGAGCTGGTGCTGGAGAGGTGCGAGTACAACGACACGGTTGCGGGAAGCCGGGCCCCACTGCCATCATAGGAAGAAGAGGAGATTGGAATTAGCGGACGCGGCCACCGGCGATGACGGTGGCGGTGGCATAGTGTGGCGGCGAAGATGTCGTTTCGGGCGACGGGGCCAGGAGTACTGGGACCGTCGGGGAAGGACTCCATGCTTGGTGGCGGCGGCGGCGGCAAGAGGGCGGGGTGGAGGATCAGACTAGCATGCGGGACACGGCGGTGGCGGCGGACGAGGTCGGCGGCGCGGAGGAACGCCATGGCTGCAGGGTGGCGACGATCGGTGTGTGCCACGCGTCGCGCGTGTTGGGCGCTCTCGATTTTGAAGCGAAAATTCGACAATAAATTACACCGCGAAATTCTCACTCCATCATAATTCGTGTTGTCATCTTATAACTTGCGTTGAACACCAAACTCGCCATGCGCGTGCTGTTCAAACTTGACTTTGGCTCTCACGCCGTCGCGGTCCACGCTGACACTCGCTACACCATGGCGACCATCACACCACAGAACAGCAAGGACCAGTTTAGGTGTCACATCGGATGTTTGACCGGATGTCGGAAGGGGTTTTCGGACACGAATAAAAAAACTAATTTCATAACTCGTATGGAAACTGCGAGACGAATCTTTTGAGCCTAATTAATCCGTCATTAGCACATGTAGGTTACTGTTGCACTTGTGGCTAATTATGGACTAATTAGACTCAAAAAATTCGTCTCACGATTTTCTCCCTAACCGTGCAATTAGTTTTTAAAAAAATCTATATTTTTTTTATGTATGTGTTCAAAGATTCGATGTGATATTTTTGAACTAAACATACCCTAAGCAAGCAAGCAATCAAGAGAGTTTCAAGACGATGTGACCAGCAGCCGCCATGGAAAGAGGAGATGAACTTTCGCGCCAATTAAATTGCACGTACGTGGTGGTGCCGCAGCTGATCAGCTACGTGCACGTACCGATCGACATCATCCACCCATTGACTTCGCAGTTCGTAGTTCGTACACGCAAGGGGCTGCTGAGGTCGGCGACCGTGCAAATAGGATGGATGGAGTTGTTGGCACCGGCGGCAGCCGGCAGGGAGAGAGACAACTGGACAAGGAGAGGTGCAATGGATCAAGTTTTGTACCATACCGCTCGACTACGTTGCTTTTGACTTGTTTATATAATTCCGTAGGTGCCTCCCACTGCGTGGGCGATGAAGGGACATGCACCAGCGCTGGATGGGTCCGGCGCATGATTCCGATCTCCTTCCTTATACAAGGAAGAAAATGGTGCTACACCGAGCTCTCTTATCTTTTTTTTTCCTTTTACGCGCAACAATGGCAAAAGAAGACCAAGATTAATTATTTACCAGCAAAAGAAAACAAATATTTATTGAACAAATTGGAGATGCGGGGTATCGATCCCCGTACCTCTCGCATGCTAAGCGAGCGCTCTACCATCTGAGCTACATCCCCGGGATGTGTCGTTCTTTAAACGTTTTCTACTCATATAGACCAATATACAAGATCGGAACAGAACAGAGTGACCAGCTTGATCATTATGCGATCTATGATACGGACGAGCATTGACAGAGACCTGAACGGGTTCACATCATCTGCCTTTGAGCCTGACGGCAAACCTTGCCGTTCCATTTACTTGTGCCCCACATTCTCCTATCAACAATTGCATGTAGTGGCCCCATCGTTGTGATTAATTAGGGGCCTAATAATCGGTGGAATTAGTAATTTTTCTTCCGAAAAAAGTCAGCAAATAGAATATAAGCGGCGTCAAAGTTGCGTGGGAAGAGGATAGATTGGAGAACAGTATAAAAGATGTTCACCAGGACTTCGAATTTTTTGAGTAGCTATACGCCTATACCCATCTACTGACAGTATAATTCACATTGACTTTTTTTTTTTGAAACCTTAGCCAGCTTAGCTGGTTTTATATTTCAGAAGATAAGTACTGTACAAATATCACCAATGGTGACAAGGGGAAAGGGGGAGAAGAGCAGAAAAAAGGAAAACTACAACAAACGATGAGAGGTTAAGGCGCTATTCTCGCAAGATTTTTTGCCCCACATGCCGACCATGTATGTATTTCGTCTATTATTCTTGCCGTTAGTTGAGGGATTTGAAGTTCTTTATCTTTGAAAACTCGCATGTTCCTCTCGCACCAGATTTGCAGTGACTGCATCCCCTTACTTTGACACTTGCTTTGTTGCTTTGTTCTTGAGTCCCACCAGTCAACTAGACTCTCGTCCGGTTGTGCACCGGGAAAGGTTGGTTGTGGTTCATTCTAGCCATTACTTTGTCCCAAATTTCTCGTGTGAATGGACAATCCTTAAATAAATGTTGCGCCGTCTCCAAGTTCCTGTAGCAGAGTTGGCAAAAATAGATATTAGGCCATTGTCGGAGTGGCAAGCGGTCGAATGTCCATATCCTGTTTTGCAGGACAAGCCACGCAAAGTTTTTGCATTTGGATGGCGCCCATGTCTTCCAAATCAAGGTGGCGGCCCTTGAGTCTTCTCTACCGGCGAATTGGGCTAAATAAGCCGATTTTGCTGTGTATTTACTGGTATTTGTCCATCTCCAGGTGATGGTGTCTTCAACTCCTTCCTCCAGGTTTGTCTCATTATCCCAGATAAGGTGGAACAGTACGAAGAATTCTCGGATCAGTGGCATGGACAGTTCATGCCTAATATCCTCAATCCATTTGTCATTGGTTAACGCATCCTGAACCAAGCGTTGCTTTCCTTTAGAGTGGTTGAAAAGCGCTGGCGCTAGGTATATAAGCGGCTGGTGTCCAATCCAGTTGAATGTCCAAAATTTTGCCTTCCGCCCATTACCGATTGTTACCTTTGTTGCGGCCGCGAAGATTTGCTCATCTAACTCATCACAGGGGGATGTCGTCCTAACCCAAGGTTTGTCAGGGCACTCCCACTCAAACCATAGCCAACGGAGTCTCAATGCTCTCGCGAATTTATCAAGGTCCAACACAGCTAGTTCTCCCATCTTCATTGGGGAGCATAATTTTTTCCAATTCACTTTGCACTTCCCCCCGCTAATCTCTTGATCGCCGGCCCAGAGGAATTTCTTCCTAATCTTGTCTATGTCTGTGAGGAACTGTTTAGGCGGCTTTAAGGTAGTAAGGAAGTAGGTTGGTATGGAGCTGGGAACAGACGTGACTAGCGTCTTCCGCCCTGATTGCTGGATTAACTTCCCTTTCCATCCCGCTAACCTTGATTGCAACTTGTCCATCACCGGTTGCAAGTGTATTCTCTTGATGCGGCTTGGGGTGAGCGGCAATCCCAAATATGTTATGAGAAAATTGCCCCGCTGTCCATTGAAATTTCCCAACACCTCGGACAGGTTCTGCTCTGCGCATTTGATGGGCACGACCGAGCTCTTGTGCAGGTTCACTTGAAGGCCTGTGGCCTCGCCGAAGAACTTGAGGATGCTAATCAAGTTGTTCACATCATTCCTGATCGGGTTTATAAAGATCGCTGCATCATCAGCATATAAGGATATTCTGAACCGCGCTGCTCGATTTGATAACGGAGATAGGAGCTCCTCTTGCATGGCCTTGTTGAGTAGTCATTGAATCGGGTCGATTGCTAGGATGAAGAGGTAGGGCGAGAGGGGATCACCCTGCCAGAGGCCTCACCTGTGTGTAGTTGGTTCCCCCGCTATCCCATTGAGTAAGATTCTTGATGATGCAGTCGATAGGAGAAGCACAATCCAATTTCTCCAGCGCTGACTAAAACCTCTCCACTGTAGCATTTCGACAAGGTATTCCCAAGATACTGAATCAAATGCCTTTGTTATGTCCAACTTGAAGAAGAGGGATGGTTTCCGTTGCATGTGCAAGGATCGGACCATGTTGCACACATAGAGGAAATTATCTTGTATGCATCTCTTCTTGATGAAAGCACTTTGGGTATGCGAGACCAAATCACCAAGTCGTGCTGCTAGTCTCATTGCCAAAGGTTTGGATATAACCTTTGCCACAGAGTGGATCAGACTAATGGGTCTGAAGTCGTTCACCGAGCATGGCGAGTCTTTCTTCGGCAGCAGTGTTATCATGGCCCTGTTGATTCTTCCAAAGTTCCCCCCTGTGAGGTTGTGAAAGCTTGCAAAAACGTCCATAATTTCCTTTTTTATTATGTGCCAGCAACTCTTGTAGAAAGTGCTAATGAAACCATCTGGGCCTGGCGCTTTTTCCTTTGGAGAGTTTTTAATTGCTTCCCAGATTTCAACCTCTGTGAACGGCTCATCCATGCTATCATCTTGTATTGTACTTAGTCCTAATGCTTCCCAATTTAATGTGCAGCCACGCTGTCTTCTTGTCCCTAAGATTGAGTTGAAGTGGGCATGAAGGTGAGCTGCTTTGTCCTCATGTGTGTGCAGGGTATTTCCATCTTGTTGCAAACAATGAATGAAATTTTTTCTCCTTCGAGCATTCATCTTTATGTGAAAGAACCTTGTGTTAGCATCACCTTCTTTTAGCCATTTTACCCTAGATGCTTGCTTCTTCCTCGCCTTTTCCACCGCTGCTAGCCCTAGAATTCTTATCTTGAGGTCTTTCCTGAATTGGTGTTCCTCTGCTGTCAGTGATCTTGTTTCCAGGGCTACATCCAGCCTGTAGATAAGTTCTTGTACCATAATGAATTGTAATTTTGATTGCCCAAACTTTTGCTTGCTCCATTTCCTCAAGGCCGCTTCGGTGTTTCTGAGCTTTTGACTTAGCGGCAAAGTGGGGTGACCTTCCTGGATAGGCTCGTTCCAGGCTTGGGTTACGACGCCTAGGAAACCTTCCACTCTAATCCAGAAGTTTTCAAATCGAAGCCTCGGTTTCCTCTTTGGTTCTTGCATTGGTGCTAGCAGCAACTGGCAGTGGTCTGAGCAGGATGTGGATAGTGCTAGTAAGGAATGCCCTGAGAAAAGAATATCTCCCTTACTATTGCTCAGAATCCTATCTAATTTGCTTAGAATCGGGTTTCCCTGCTCATTACTCCAAGTGAACTGCCTGTTTTGCAATCTAATGTCTTTTAGCTCCAATGTATTTAAGGTTGCCTTGAATCGCCCCATTAGACGCCTATTCAAATTCCTTTTTAAGATTTCATATGTTCCTTTTTTTTAACTTATATCAATTTATATATTTGCAGGGTGATTCAGATGGTTGAGAGTTGTATTCCAAAGGATTTCTAGCTTCATTTCACTGCCATTTTCTTTATGACAATACTCTATTTGGGACCTAGAAGTAGTACTGCTAAATGATACTAAAAGTTTTGTATAAGATATATACTATTGTTCAAGTATTTAGGCCATGTTTCTTTTAGCTTGGGATTATTATAATTATTGAGTCAGATTA